AACCTCTCCACGCTGCAGAACTACGTCTTTGAGGCTAATCGAGGCACGGTGCTCGGCGAGAAGCTGCTGCTGTCTGGACAACAACTGCAACAGCAGCAACAACAACAACAACAGCAGTTGGCAAAACAGACGAACAATGCCTCTTCAGCAAATGCGACGGCGTCGCCACCGCCACCATTGGACAACCACGAAGCGGAAAACATCTTCCTCGACCGCATCATCTGGTCAACCAACCCCAACGTCCTGCCCAACTTCACGCAGACGGCGGTGCAGATGTACGTCGACCAGATCACCAACTACGGTAATGTCTCACAAATGATGATACTAGCGCTTACCAAACCATGTCCATGTGCTTTTGTTCAGACTACGGCCTAAACTACGGCATCATCCTGTTGGACTCCCGCTGGGAGAACACCATCGGCGAGTTGCGCATGAATGAGAGCTTCAGCAACCCGAAGGTGCTGGTGAACATTCTCCACAACAAGGGCTTCAAGATCATGCTGCAGCTGTCGCCGAACATTGCCCTGCGCTCGCCACTGGTGGACAGCGCCTCGCCCTACCTGATGCTGGACTCGAATCTGCGCTCGCCACTGCTCAGTCGGTGTCTCTCCGACCAGGCGCACATCTGCGCCACCATCAACTTCACCAACCCCGACAATGGCGAGGCCTTCCGGGCCAACGTCAAACGGGAGCTGCTCAGCCAGAACGTCGGCCTCTCCGTGGACGGCCTCTTCTTCCAGGGCATTCAGTCATCGCTGCAGCCGAGGTACATCAACTTTGGCCGCAGCATCAACCCGGACCAGTTCATCGAGCACAGCAATGCCGCCATCCGCAGTCTGCCCACCGCCATGGGCATCTCCACCTCGGTCAGCGCCAGCAGCTTTTTCGGCTACGTGTCGATCGCCTCCCGGGACTCCACTTGGCGGGCACTGCAGAGCATCATTCCCTCGGTGCTGACGCTGGGCCTGCTCGGCTACCCGCTGGTCAACTCGGACACCGTCGGCGGGCAGCAGCTCTTTACGCTGCTGAAGAACGAGACCGACTACATCAACAAGGAGCTGTACCTGCGCTGGTTCCAGCTGGCCATTTTCCTCCCCGTGGTGCAGTTTGCCGAGCCGCCGGGCGGCAACGACCTCGACGTGATCAAGATCGCCAAGCGACTGCTCAAGCTCCGGGGGGAGCACTTTCTGCCGGCGATGAAGGCCGCCCTGGTGGAGTACTACGAAAGGGGCTCGCCCATCATTCGGCCGATGTGGTGGACGCAGAAGGAGCCCGAGGCGTACCTCATTCGAGACCAGTTCTACGTGGGCAACAATATCATCGTGGCGCCCATTACATTCGAGGGCAAGACGGAGCGGGACATCTACCTGCCCAGTGGCTGGTGGAAGGACGAAATTCTCGCTCAGGTACCAACATTATCATCAAGTCGTTCATTTTAGTTTTTGACCGAACTTTTTTTTGTAATATTTTGTAGGTGATTCGTGGAGGGAAGTGGATGCGCAAGTACCAAGTGCCCCTGGACAAGGTGGCCTTCTTCGTGAGGACGGAGCCCTCACCGCCGACCATATAACCACACAAGTAAACTATCTGTGACCGTACTACTATTCTGATCATATCTCTTGTCTTCTTTCTCTTTGTTGTGTTTTCCTACCTTTCCACTATTCTATCTGCCGTTTTTATTTTCTCTTCAATGCATTTTATATTTGGAACTGTTTTTAATTTATTATTTATTAGTATTTGATATAAACCTAGGGGAGTTTCTCTCCAATGACAATCGCAGTATCACAAAGGTTCTCCAGCTCTATAGCAGCCATAGCTTCAAACATTAAAGTACTCATTATCCGCCAGTTGCTTGTCCACTGCACTCTCCAGACAGACCATGTACTCCTCTATGCTCATGGGAATGGCTGACTGACTGAAGAGAGCAATGGCGAGAAAGGGCAACTTCCGAATGGTCCTTCCACTCAGAGTGCCGCTCTTCCTGACGATTTGCAGCAGTGTACTGCCGTTGCTCCACGCCACCTGCACTGATTGGCTTTCCTTTTCAGCCATCTCAAGTGTTATCGATTGCAGTGTATCATACGAGAGAATGGCCTCCTCAAGTTGACGATGCTCTTCTTCGGCACTCCCTTCTTCTCCATTTCCGTCCATGTTGTAGATAATTTTTGAGTTGAATAGTTCGTGAATGCAAGTCAGATAGATTTTGTAGGTGGTGCACTCTGAAGGGAGGCCAATGTACTGCTTGATGTCGGCCCGATCGACAAAGGCATTGTCCATTGCCTCAGTCACATTAGAGCTGGCGAGAATGATCACGTTTGGGTACTTGCGAATGGAGTCAATTTGAGTCAACAGAGCATTGACCACTCGAATGGCGTCAGACGGATCTGAGCTGCTGTTACGCTGACGATCATACGCCAGACTTTCCACTTCGTCGATCAGTACAAAGATGAGATTTGTGCTGTCGTCGGCAAACTCGCGAATGCCATCAAAGAGCTTCAACACAAGCTTTCCACTTTCAGAGAACCACTTTGAGAAGAGTGAGTGTGAGTTGATTTCAATCAGCTGAAAGTTATGGTAGCGGTCGTAGAGTCGAATTGCATACTTTTGTGATAAAGCTTTGCAGAGAGACGTCTTTCCTGTCCCTGGCGGGCCATGCAGTAGAATAACCTGAAGTTATGCAAATAAAAAGTTAGTAACTGTAGATTATGAGACTTGTTATCAAAGAAAACCTTATTCCAAGCGATAATGGAGGGATTCACTTTCTGGTTGGCAAAAAGCAGTGAAGTCTTCACGTAGTTGAGCAACTTCAGACGAATGTTTGAGTCAAAGATTAAGCTTTCCCAAAGCCCGTCCAAATTCGCTGAAGGCAGCAAAGTGTGAAAAGACGCCGGCAAATCCTCCTCAAAGTTGTTTTGCATAATTTCATCAAAGAGCGGGTAAAAGTAACATTCAGCATTGAGCATCACTGAATTGCACTCAGGGTCTCGAGACGCTACCAGGCGGTCAAGTTCTTCTGTTTTGTTGTCGATGTTGATGCTCACCTTTTCCAGCACTTGAGATAGCTCATCGGGAAGCTCATGCAGCATGTAGTGTCCATTAGTTCGCATGGCGGACTTGATAAAGCGGACCAAGCGCGCACGATCTCCTTTAATCCATTCGAGCAGTGAAGTCCGCAGGACTGGTGTCTCCTTCTTGATGTTGACATTAGGCTTTACCTGCGCCTCAACATGAATAACAATGGGCATTTTGTACTTTGAGATGGTGAGCGAGAAAGTGAAAGAAGCGGGAGATAAAAACACAACAAAAACAAAATCGAGAAAGGAGAAAAAACGGCCAAAAATTTTTGAATATCTCAAGCGACATGCTCGCAGAGGACGTCTCTCCGCCTGTTGAACTTTTTTTACGATCGTGTTTGGCTAACGAATGAATTTCGAAACTGTGCTACTCTTTTGAGGATTAGGCAAATGGGATGGTGATCCCCCACCGACAATCGAAGTAAGTATCAGCAAGAAAGTGTATATTAATTGGTCAAGTGCTCGTAAAGGCACACTAAAAATCACATGTAAAGGGGAAACAAATATTACCATCACCAGGTAACAATAAAAAAATGTAAGTACATTAGGCTCATCTTCATAAACGCATTTCGTTTTCATGTTCAGCCTGGATGACTACTAGTGGAGTTGTGATGCTCCAAATTAAAGAGCACATAGGAGGGGACTAGGAAGCAGACAAAGATGAGCAGAATAATTAGGTAGCGCCAGTGGATGCCAAAATCAGAGCCATCACAGGAGAGGAAAACGCTGGAGGCAGCTTTCGTTGGAACAGTGGAGTTGATGAGGCCTACTGCGGGATGATCACCGTCCACCTGGATAGGCAAAGGGGCAGCAATAGAAGAGTCCTCCATCTTCACCTGTATGGACTTGCGAATCTCCTTGAAGTCTTCGCCGAGATTGTTGAGAAACTTCTTATAATCATCGCTACTGTTGCTGTTCAAGTAGTTTGAGATGCCGATTTTGATGACTTGCGTTTTTGGAATGGAAGCGCCAGTGCCGCCGGTGTCGTCCGAAAGGTCCACCAGATCCTCGACAAACTCTGTCCGCTGCTCACCTGCTGACGTTGACGGCTCACTTGTGGCTAGCTGCTCGGTGAGGATACTGCTTCGAACTACGGGGATCTTTAGCACTGTAAGCCCGTGAAAGGTATTGTCGCTCATCAGATGGTTGTGCAGACGAAGCTGGGATACTGTACAGTTGTACTTGAGAGCAATGCCCTGCAAGGTTTCATTCGGCTTGATCGTATGGTAGATAAAGTCGATCTTGCTTACTTTATGTGATTCAGTCTCTCCGCCCAACTCGAGCGGCCTGCGCTCCTTGCTGTGGCGATTTTTAAGCTCAAAGTTGTTTTGATCATTTTTATCCTGGTAAGGGAGCGATTCTTCAAGCTCCTCTTCATTGATCAGTCTGTGGTACATTGATATTGGTAGTGATCAGAACTGTCAACAACAATCAGCTGGAAACAGGGATCAAGGAGGATCACCCGTGAGCATGTTCCTTTAGATGGGCAAAGGGAGATTGGTGTTCCAGTGGCGCAGAATCTTCTGTGTTGCAAAAACGCACAATTTTAGGCATCTGAAGTTAATTTTCATCAAGAAACTAAAATCATGACGATGTAAACAAGTTAGAAAATCAACAGAGAAAAATGACTTGTGGCAGCTTTCCGGGAACTTTCTTTCCCGATAAAATTTTTTTTCAAGTTTTGCCTACTTTTTTCCACTTCACTGGCACTTGAAAATCTGTGCCAAGTTGAAGATTAATTAGAGAATAGAAAGGTAGGACTGCCCCTACCAACAGATGCACAGGTGAGGTTGCCAGTAAATCAAGTTTAATTAATGAATGGGCCAGCACTCTCACTTTCACCTGAGAACTTTACTTTCCCATCTTCTGCCCCTTCTTCAGCTCGCCCGTCCACACTGGCCACCACAGCAGCTTTCCTAGCCAACTCTAATTTTGCCCCGTTAAGGCGAATAGGTGCGCGCACTCGTTCGAGCGTTGCAGCAGCACTGCAGCTCAGCATCAGCAGCATAATCGAAGCTGGCCCGGAAGTAACGGCTCCGCTCGGCTCGGTGGTGTTCTGCCGCTCGTGTGGTGATACTCGCTGATCTTCTTACTAATGGCGCACAGACACGCGTCACTGCAATTGCAATCGGTGTGATCTAACCAACAGCCATCGACAATTGCTGATATGGAGATGAGCAGAAAGATAAAGCTGTTTTAGAGAGAAAGAGGGAAAGGATGCCAACTGTTTTCGGTGAGGATCGGCTGACCATAACCATCAGCATCAGCAGCACTACCCGAAGTGCAATAAATCAATAGATGACTAACTAGTGCTTTTGTGGGCGCCCAGTGTTGATGGGCTTTGATCGATGGAGATTGCATTTACACACACCTCTAGTCAAAGATTAGCCGGTGCGGCAATTAATTTGCAATTAGAACGATACTAGCAAACCCGCATCAGTGCCGCCCTGAGAATGCCAAATGTGAGCCTAATTTTCTGTATGTCTGCTTGCAAGTGTCAGGGGCTGATGGTTTCCGACACCAGCACTCAACTGATGCCGTCCTCTTGAGACAGACTATTTGCTCAAAAAAGAAAAAAAGATGTTAGTCAAGAGGAGCTTACTGGGGAGATTCGCGTTGATTGAAAAAGAGACAGCTGCTNACTTGAGACAGACTATTTGCTCAAAAAAGAAAAAAAGATGTTAGTCGAGAGGAGCTTACTGGGGAGATTCGCGTTGATTGAAAAAGAGACAGCTGCTGCTGCTGTCTCCATCGTCGATTGTTTGCGTGCCGTGAAAAAAAGAAAAAAATGAAAAGTGCAGCAGCAGCTTCTCAACAAGAACAATGGCTCATTTAAACTCCTTCTGCGGCTATTGGGTGACATTGTCCCCTCACTGCAGACGAGAGCAGTGTTAGTGCAGACTGCTGTAAGTGTGTTGATGCACTGCTAATGCATGTTCAATGGCAAACTAAAAAATGTCCTGAAGAAGCAGCAACAGCCGCCGCTCGATTTAGGTTCACCTCGAAGTACATCATCGAGTTTGGTCTTGACCACTACTACTACCACCACCACTACCACTAAACGATAGTTTTACTGATCAGTTAGCAGTAATCGATCAATCACACCGCTGTTCTTCTGGCATCACAGCTAACTAAAAATCCAGTCAGTGACCAATTTGATGGGCAAGCAATATGTGCTAGCAGTGCTATTCTACTCTAGACAAAGTATGACATCCCTCAGACAGTGTGTGTGAATTAGTGTGAATATGAATTAAAGATGAGCATCAACGACGACAACCGCAGCGACGACAACGACGGTGAAGTGGCCATTGACCAACGATCAGTGTCGATATTACGACAGCGATCTATTGGCAGCATCTTTCACTTTCACTCTCCGTTTGTGCTACTTGAATGCCATTACAGCAGCAACAACAGCTCTGCTAAAGACAATCAGCGATTCCTTCAGCAGACCGTGTCTGGCCACTGTTGTTGTTGATCATCGACAACAATGGCCAATGCCCGTTACCTTGTTGATCAGCAGTGGAAGCGGCGGCAGCAGAAAGTGAGACGTGTTGTACTCTGAAAAACACTGAGAGTCTGCTGGGAGATGCTTGTAAGTAAGAGAGTGAGAGAGAGAGAGAGAGAGAGAGAGAGAGAGAGAGAGAGA